ATGTCAGAAAATGTGACAAAAGTCTGAAGGTTCATTAAAATAGCAGAAATACCTTCCAAAAACTAAACATTTTAAGAAACATGAAAATTTAATAACAAAGAAAAGGATAATGAACTGCTATGTAATATCAATCCTCCTGTAGGGCAGTGAATGCTGAACAATGTCCCCACAGATGAAAAAGATTTGAGACAACGGATGAGATAGAATACCATAGATAGAACATTTGAGCTGCTGCTGAATCTCATGCCATGAAGGAGCCAAGCCTACAAGAGTCACCTTGTCCCTCCACCTCTTATGATCTTGGCAAAGCGTTGAAACATCATCCAGTACCAGATTAATCTGCTGGAGGTTCTAGCAGACATTCAAGCAGATGCATGGTCTACTGCGAGATTACCACCTGTTTATAGATGGGGGGAAGGGACTGGTAGAGGACTTTGGTAGGATGTTCATCAGGTTGTCACAGGACATGACCAAGCTAGCAAACACAGTGCTAAGAGATGGTGCGGAGGGTGTTCAGCTGATCAGTCATCTGGTGGAGCTCCTCATTGTTCCTGAGAGTGTGGGATTCTCATATAAAGACATGGGAGGCAAGTGTCTTGCTGAGAGGCCTTGTCTCAGCACCATATATATATATATATATATATATATATATGTGTGTGTGTGTGTATACACATATAAATCTAGATAACTAGACTCGTTTAAAAAAAAAAAACCCTCGAATTTTTGATTTGCTAATCAAATCAATCTCGAGGGGAAAAAGGTTTTAAAAAAAAAGAAAGAGCTACAAACATGAACTTCTGCAGACAAAAAAAAAAAAAAAAAAAAAAAAAAAATCAGACAGATGCAGGTCTGAAGCCCAAAGAAAAAACCCCGATACAGTAAGTAACAACTAACTAACAAAAGAGCTCAATACAACCGTAGAGCAGACCTAGATACACCTAGTGAGCCAGAAAAACCTACCTAGGTTTCACCTAAATGGATAGTCAGGGAAAGTTTGGCCAAACGGATTGTCAGGGAAAGCCAAACTTTCCCTGACGATCCGCTTATGTGAAACCTAGGTAGGTTTGTTTGGCTCACTAGGTGTATCTATATATATATATATATATATATATATATATATATATATATATATATATATATATATATATGACAAAAATTTTAAGGAAAATGGGAAATAAAAGGACAATTGTACTTGAAATTAGAAAGAATTGAAATTTCTGAGACACATGAGGAAAGAAGGCTTGGATGATTTGACACTTAAAAGAAAGCATAATGGACAGAGAGGAACAGCAATTACCTTACCTAACAACCTTATGTAAATGGAGAGCAGAACAGGTACTGGGAGGAATAGTAAGGGGCTTAAAGCTATAATGGATAGGAAATTGTTGTGAGCCATGATCACCCATGTCCTGAAGGGATATGGCATATAAATGATGATTCGCTAGAATATGTATATAATTTAAAAGAAATGTTCTGGAATCTAAATATTTAAATGTTACAAGCTAATAAAAGATCTGAATAAAAATATTTGGCTTGAATTCAATATTAATAAAATGCAAATGAAATTAGTTATATTGCCATTAGATTTGGTCAGTTTGGCAATTTATGTTTCAGTATTGGTTTCTGTTTTTTTTTTTTTTCCTTTGATACCACGGTTTTCGATTTATTTTTTTCAGTTTATAATTTAGTATTCTTACTTTCTAAGGAAGCTATTTATTTTCTTGTGTAATGATAGCATTTTCAGTCGATATCTGATTTCGTTTGAGATTGATAAATTTGCAACTTAGTCCATTCAACTCACAATATCTTGTGTATATATGGTCCAATCTTAAAAATATTCATATGGCTGGAAAGAAAATAAAATCTTTCTAAATATGTAATATGTATGTGCTTTTATTCTTTTTTTTTTTTTTTTTTTTTTTATACAGGAAATGATATTTTGCTTTGACCAACTGAAAATGAGAAATATGATTCCCCCCACTCTCTGAGACAAAATTTTACACGTTACTTTGTTTTGCAAAATCAAAGTGACCAATCTTTATCAATATTCTTGAAATTGTACACGTCTCTGACCCATGTAAGAGTATTCCTTCAAAAATTCTAAAGTAAGCAAGAAGTAAAAAAAAAAAAAAAAAAAAAAAAAGAGCAACTGATAGTAACAAATGTGTGATAAAAGAACTTTCAAATTATTGAAACTACTCTCTGACACTGACTATTGGCTAAAAAAAAAAAAAAAAAAAAAAAAAAAAGTTATGGGTTTTAAAAAATGACTTGCAGTTTTGAAAATATACACATTTTGAAACTGATTAAAACTTACATTAATTTTTTTAATATCTAATTTTAGGTGTATTCACTAGATAAAAACAATTTTATTTGCATATCTGGAAATATATACATTTTAAAAATGAAATTAAGAACTATTTTAATTATTCTTATCTAATTTGGGTGCATAACCTAGATAAAAAAATTTATTTAAAAAAAAAAAAAAAATAAATAAATAAATAAATCTTCATTCATTTTTCTTGTTTATAACAACCTTATTTTGTGATTGGCGTATGAGACTGGCTTACTAGAAAACAAAAACCCTTGCAAAAAAAAAAAAAACAACTTCATAAAATTTAACATTAAGATGAAACTGGCAACTATTTTTTATTTTTACTTGCTATTGTTAACTTAATTTTACTGCAAAAACTTTTTTTTTACAAAACTGAAACAGATTTCAGACATCGTGTTTCTTTTTTTCTTCTTCCTTTCTTTTGTAAACAAATAAAGTTCACATTTATTTCCTAAAACTAATTAGTTAAATGTTTTTAACATTTTTGTTCAATCTTTTCCTCTTACAATGACATAAACATTGATGAAATTTAATTTTATTAACATCTGAAAGTCTTTTTCAAAATTATTTCTTTGAAGATGGTCACTCAGTAGTGACAACACTTAAAAAATACAAACAATTTCGGTTTCGTTAAAAATTTCAATGCGGTTTCACGGTGTGAAGATGAAACTGAAAAAAGTCAGTTTTTCAGTTAAACCACTCATCTCTAATCTTCATAACACATTTGAAAAGGTGCTTTTTATAGTACAACTATTATTGAGAAAGTCTTACAAATCATTTTGAGTTCACTCCTCACTGGGTGCTCTAATAAGTAAGAAAGTTATAAAGTCCCACAAAAAAACAACAATATTCAGTTATTTATAATTATTTTTGCTTTCATTTCTATATTTTGACCACTACCTGAAATGACATGTAAAATTCATTCGTATGTTAATCTGTGAAGCTTATAAACTAAGCTATTAAATATTGCACCCACTCTCACAAAAATTAAAAGTTCTTCAATCACGTCTCATCTGAGTAATAAGTAAAATAACTCTAAACTTATCACCCTAAATTTAACATATCTGTCAAATTTTAAATATTTCAGGTAGATATTCAAAAATAAGAACAAGACCTCAATCTCAATATGATAAATACAAAACTGCTGAAAGAAAGGTTCATTTGTCTTTGTTCAAATCATATTTATTTAATGAACAATACTATAGTTAGCCTTATACCCAAAATAGAATTTCATCAGTCCCTTTCTGTAGCATTTGAACTTCAGACAAATATGACAATGCTCATGAGGTATAAAACAGAAATGACTTGTTTCACAAGTATAAACACAATTTAAAACTACATTAAAACATATTCGCTTTTCCTTACAATACATGTATCAGAAATTCTGCATTAAAAACAACTACTTGATATAAGGAGACATTCGATCAATAGAAGGAACATGTTGCATTAAGTAAATCAGTCATAAATTCTGCAATAAAATTTTAAGAAGCACAAGACTAAAAATAAAATATGTACCTAGCAGCAAACGATATTTAAATAATACTAAGGATTCATATTGACATAAGCATAAAGAATTTATTATGCACATTTATATTCATTTTAAAAATAACAGATCTGTTAAAATCAGGAGACAGATCTTTAAAGTAATATAAGTTTGTATATATGTGGTTAAAGCCTGGGTTAAATCAGTTAAATAATGATAGTTGCAGAGTTATAAAATTCAAGATTCCTCTTGGAAGTTTAATACAGAGGTGGGGGAAAGGATGCAAATATCCATTAGCTGATCAAGCTGAATTTCCAGATAAAAATGATTTCTGGAAATATATATATATATATATATATATATATATATATGAAAAAAACTAAATATATAACAAACAAAGGAACAAAGGAATTAAATAATATGAATATATTTAGGAATCATCATAGTAGAAATGTGATCACAGTTCTGAATTTAAGAAAAAAAAAGTTTATTAAATAGAAGCAAAGAATTAAAAGGTTTACAAATAAGATTCTTTTTATAGAAAATATTTCAAGAATCCAACTACTAAATGATTTTTTTAGAAATGTAAAAAATTAATATTTTGAGAGTATCAGTCTTAAGTAATAATCAGCAATTCTTGAAAAGGGTTTGCTATTTTAGTACACTTTCTCGTAACTACTTACAGTTGAGCTGGAAATCTCATCATAAATTAATATTTACATAAAAAATATCTTTCCTTATATATGCACATGCGCACACACACACACACACACAATTATATTTCTCTTCTCATATAAACATGCACACACACACACATCCATGTACATCTAAATATAAACATTCATTCAACCTTATTTCCATGACTAAATTGGTCATCAGATAAAAAAACAACTGGGAGACGTGTAAAGTATCCAGTAATACATTCAAACTTCCATTGATCTAATATGGATTCTCAGATCAATACATCAGCTACTCATTAAAAAAAAATAATAATAATATTGCCAGAGATACAGGCCTGCAAGCAATTGAAGAAATTATATAATTTTATATTTAATGAAATCTAAGAAACTAATGCTACTTATAAAACAGTAATACAACCATCATATGTAGAAAATAAAGATAATCCAACTTCCTTATGCCACAGAAATTCATGGTCTCATAAAATTTTAATGAACAACTTACCACGCTTTTCCGGGTTTGACTGAGGTAAGTGTCCATTGTGTGCTGGATAAGTCCTGCTAGAGAACTCTATCTAGTATTTGTAAGAGAGAGTGGGTATCATGATGACAATAGCAGAGAGCAATTACACTACTGTTGTGGGACAAATTAGAGGTGCAAGTCACTAACACATTCCTCATAAAATGGATACACTGGTGTCGACAGTAAAATACTGACTGTTTTTTCTGCAGCTTGCTACTTCTGCTCTTGGTTGGCAGCATTCAATTCTGTAAGTGAAATAAAACAGAATTAAGTTTGATGCACATGAAAAGTAATACTGAAATTTGTCAAGTTCACAGCGAAAAAATATCAGTAGAGAAACCATTTTTTGTTTTTAAATCAATATCCAATGAAATGGGGTTGAGTGTTTGGGGATAATTTAAGAACATCATTACATTTATAGACAGAAGTAATTCAAAAATCATAATGAATTGTGGTTCTTTCTCATCACCATAACAACTGCTATTTGCAGGATATTTATTTTGCATCCCAAGAGTAATTATCAAATTGTTGAGTCTCTGGTAGTGCCATTAACCCAAGCTGATGTATTCCATATAAATTTATACTTGATCAAGATATCAAATATTATACATTAACACAAATGTAAATTTAAACATTATATAATTAAATTATCTATTATGACAATTTATTTTCTAAGCCACTTATTTGCTTAATGATCCAGGAGAACACTTTGAGAAGAACTTTCCTCATTTACTAGTTTAAAAAATTCATAAGTAATATTCAAATTTTGCTATATGAAAATTTACAACTAAAAATAAATGCCCCATATGCAGACTTAATATTTTTTAGAAACAGTTACAATTTGCACATTTTCACATGTGCAGTATTTAAGTCTTCTAATTATGGCGTTGATAAACATCAGCTTTTATTCTAAAGACGGTTCTTGTTTAGATGATACAAGAACTGTCTTTTGGAGAAAATATGCCACTGAAATATATAACAAAATTATTATATCAGTTTTATCATATTTATAAGTTATGAACCAGTATCTTTATTTAAATATAATTTCTTATTCATTCACATAATATTGTATTTATCATAATACTTATGTAAGTACAAAAATATTTTTCAACAAGCTACTTCCATGTCAGTGCATTTAATTTTGTGAAAAACATTAATTACATTTATCAAATCAAAATTCAGTTAATGAGGTCAAGCTGCTGAACTATTTATCCACCCCCATAATTATGAGGGTTGAATACTTTAAAGTCAAGCTATGGTAAAATAATGTACATATTACCTCATTTTTTTCCTAAATATTTTAGAAGCAATACTTTTGCAAAAACTCTTTACTCAAGAGAAAATTTCTACATCAGCTCAAAATGGAAAAACCAATCCCAAAGCAATAAGCTAAATGTATGGTTATTATATGAAATGAATCCACTTGAGACATAACACTTTTGCTGAGCATTAAAGTATTGTTTTTCTCTGATATGAAATATTCTTTTAAAGAGAAACAAATACTATAAAAAATATATGAATGTCCAATATAAACAGTTCTCTTTTATTGAATTTGCAGCCAAAGATTCAAAGGCCACAACAGAACTCATTAAATGTAGTACAAGAACACAGGTTTCTGCCATTGGTTTTTTTCTTTTATGGTGAGCAGAAGAGGGTTATTTCTTAAAAGCAATCAATAACCAGTGAATTACAAAATTGGATTAATAATTAGTGTAAAAAAATATTTTAAAGGAATTTTCTATAAAATTTTACTATAATAAAATCTTCCTTTTTAACATCAACTTAGAAATGATGCAACCAGAAAAAAAACAGCACATCTTAGTTATTAATATTGATTTCCATTCTCGTTTCCATTCAAGAACTCTCATCATATTGTCAAGTGGTTAACATGCTCTACTCTCAGAAGCTAGAAATGATTTTCATGTTTGCTAGAAATACAATGAATATAGCCTCATACCAAACAAGGCTTAGTTATGGTAAAAACAATCATTTCATTTGAATACAAGCAACATTATCAATTTTAAGAGAAACAGTAAAAAAAGAAAAAAAAAATCATGGCAGTTTAAATTTTTTTAAAGAAAATGAGAAAAATGTCTACAATCACATACATATATACATAACATAACATAACATTAATTTTACATTTATATAAACAATCAAAGAAAGAAAATTATCCAAACAAAAATTATTTTAACATAGTTCAAAATAAGAAAAAAAAATTGAAATTAAGAGGTTATAGTTGGTAAAACCATTGTTTTCATTAAGTTCATTAACTTTTAATCCATTCTTACCTAGCAAATGATATTGACTTTTGTTTAGCATTCTACATTCATAATATTAACAGGAACTGTGTAAATTATACAGATTTACTAAAATTTTTTGGTGCTGCTATCTGTACTTTTCAACCCATGACCATTCCAAGATAGTTATAAAAAGTGACAGTTTCTTTTAAAAATACTGAAATTTCCTCAATAGATTGTTAAGTTACAAAACATGATTTAACCCTTTATTGCAAGCAATTGCTTTTATCTCAGATGACCCCGACCTCCAATCCCTTTGGGTTGCACTCTCTTTTTGTCTCTCTACACCTCTCTCTCTCTTCCATTCTCTATGTCCTTCTCTTTCTGTTTCCCCTCTCAGTGTATGTGATACTAAGCATGCAACACACTATACATAAGTACAAGTATATTAATATATAAATATTGTGAATAAGATTTAACCTTTTTATAATACATTATTGAATTTATATTTTGGAAAAAATGCTGAAATGCCAAAGAGTGAAACAGTGTTTAAAACTCATCTCATACTAAGGAAACTAACTTTAAAATCATCAAAAGAAAGCTTTTAATCTAAAATCATTATCAAAACAGGAAGAGCTAATAATAAACATTTTTCATAATAGACCAATAAATGCCAACAACTCTATAGAGAAGGTGACAATAGTGTGCAATTGGAAAATGCCTTAGTAAACCTCATAATACACAGTAGGCAGATTGTTAGGTGATGATGACTTCTATATGCTATGGATGAGCATGCCTCTCTACAAATTCCTATCCTTTATAACTCTTAGTAAGGTTGGTCTTTTACTATCTTTCTTAATCTCTATTCTGCTAACCGTTTACACAAGCTGATTGGATAAGTTATTCACTGCTTTCCTCCGTCTCTTGCCTTCAATATACCCTATGAGTGTCAAATTCTCCAAGCCTGCTTCATTATGTGCCCTATGAATTTCAATTGTCTTTCGAATTCTAAATATGTCTTTCTTTGATTCCATTTTCCCTAAAACATTCTTGTTACACACATGTTCAGTTCACAGGATTCTCAGCATCCTTCTGTAGAACCACATAAAGAGATATGATGTTAGTTTTAATGTTTGAATAAAATAAAATAAAATACACAAATTTGGCCATTTGTTAGTCTCTTATCTTGAAAGAAAAAAAATTGATTAAGTTATCCAGTTATTTCTATCAAAAGAAAGTAAATACTGATAGTCGTGATCAATACACTAAGTAAAAAATACTTTGAATTGATTTGATTCTAAAGCATTAATAATCAACTGCCCATTTCCACAGTTAAAAAAGATGAGTGAGTAAATTTAGAGACAACGTAAAGATTAGGAAGACAAAGAAGTGCAAAAGTCAGACAAAACAAATTATCAAGCAGGAGAGAACAGAAAAATCAGCATATCTGTGCCAAACGATCAAATGAAAGGAAACATCCAATTGAGCATTGCCAGAATGAATGCCAATCCTTACTAATGCCTAGTAAATCAATTCTGAACAAGTTTAATATGGAAAAACATTTTGCTTCAATATTTAAGGTCATAAATTTCAAGCAGTGATTTACTAATCAATCACTAAACAATGAAAGAAATCAATACAGACAAAACAAAATTGATGGACACTGTAATTAAATTTCTTTTTAAGTTCATAGCATTCAATAAATATGTTTAATCCCACCATAACCAATCCATTTATTTATTTCTAAAATATGCACTACCCTAAGAATATCTAATAGCTTTTTTTTATACTTCCTGTGAAACATGAAGTACCAAAAAATTATTTAAACAAAATTAGCTTTTTATCAACTTTTATACAAAGAGAATTGTACATATTTTTCACTGATGTCTACAAGAGATAAATGTCTACAGTAAATATTTTTATATTTCTCAGTATCAAAAAATTACTATCACCTAATTGTTTATTATTTGAAACTCAATGGTTGCAGAGACTTGGTTCAGAAAAGTTACTTTCTCCTCTTACAAATTATAAAGATATATAAAACACTTACTAAAATATGAATGACATTGAGATAAACACCCTAGCTGTTTTAAAATAAATTGATAATTAATATTTATGATACCAACAGAAATAATTCTTTTAAATTTATTGCTTGTCTGAAGATGTCAATATCACAGTAATATGTTAAGAGATTTATATATATATATATATATATATATATATATATATATATATATAAATAACTAGACTCGTTTGAAAAACCCTCGAATTTTTGATTTGTTAATCAAATCAATTTCGAGGAAAAAAAAAGGTTTTAAAAAAAGAAAGAGCTACAAACATGAACTTCTGCCGACAAAAAAATCGCAGACAGATGCAGGTCTGAAGCCCAAAAAAAAAACCCGATATGAGTAACAACTAACTAACAAAAGAGCTCAATACAATCATAGAGCAGACCTAGATACACCTAGTGAGCCAGACAAACCTACCTAGGTTTCACCTAAACGGATCGTCAGGGAAAGCTTGGTGTATCTATATATATATATATATATATATATATATATATATATATATATATATTATAAGGTTTTACAATATTATCGAGAAGCACTGCATAACCTGCTGGTGTGGTGATCAAATCTTATCCGATATATAAATATAAATCATTGTAAATAATGTAATTTATTGATAAATATAAGATGAGGTTTCTAAATAGATCTTTAAAAGAAACCTTTTTCTTTTACTTCCACTGATTTCTACAAATATAATAAACTAAGAGATGCATTCAGTTATTTTTGTGGTGGGTAGTAATTATTTTCAATTTCTGTCTGAAGTTCTGAGAGAAAATGTTTTCATTATTCAAATGAATCACATCCTTCTTATAGCCATTACAAAAGAAAGCCAAAAAGTACATCAGTTAAAATGTGATAAAACCTATAAAAATGATGTCTGACTAAACTACAGAAACAATTATTTTTCATTTTTTTTTTTTTAAGAGCACATTGCTA